TTGCTCATATCGACTTTGCAACCACCTCATAAATAGCTTTAGTGTGCTCTTGCAGTATACTGATAGACTTGGCAGATGACAAAAGGATTCAGTTCTGGTAATTCAAAGTATGACGTGCACTGTAGGCAGCTCCATATTGACTCTTACTCCCTCACAATACTTGGCTGCCTTTTACTTGTCACTGGAGTACGTCACCGATACATTTATGATTGGGATAAAAGGCTGCCAAATTTCTACAAATGAATGAACTCAGAGGGACATGGTGCAGAGGCACTCCAGGTCTAGTGTAGGGGGAAAGGCTGGTAGGTTAGCCTGGGCAACATTCTGTATACAGCTGCAATGGGCAAGACCCAATGTGTCCCCCTGGGCCAACAACTCAGAATTGATTCTTAGTGAAATAGAAAAACACAACAGATGGGGGTATGTGTACCTACAGCTAGAAGAACTAAGATATAAAAGTGTTTACATGTAAACGTATTTTATGCCCTGCAATATGAGTGAAAGAACGCAGTCTATATACCAGGGAAAATTATAAAATACATCAGGGTATTATGGAGGATTGGAATAGCTTTATACAGTCAAATGGATTAAGTGTTTCATCTGTACTAAACATATTAAGCAGCTGAATATCCAGAGACATTATAAACGTCAAGCAAGGCAACATTACACTTATTTCATGGCAGAATGACTGAATATCCGGTAACATAAGTCAGGCAAGGTTATGTTACTCTTACATTCCGAGTCTCCCCAGATTCGAGAGAGAGTTTTTTTTTTTACAATAGTATTTCTCTGTGAGTTTTTGAGGCTTTTCTAAAATGGTTTTAAAAGGGATGCTTTAAATCGTAAATTATTTTACTAATAAACATTTAAAGGTCTATTTCTAAATCTTCTGCTAGGCCATATGCAGGGTGAATGTTTGCATGGCATTCCTGCCACTAGATGGAGCCGAGGAACATGGGACATTTCTATGCTCCTCAGCTCCATCTTCTGGCAGGGATAGACCCCTTAATGTGGGGTGCACTCATGACACAGAGGCATATAAAGCACTATAACTGACAATGATAAAACATTCACTGCAGACGAATCTTCCAGGTGCATTTATTTAATGACCGGGATTAAGTCACTACCAGGGAAGGTTTGGTGAAAGTCACATTAACGAAGAAATAGACTCTTTGCATGGCATGCTGGGGCTTTTAAAGCAAAATCATCATCATTGCCTGAATGAGGACTCATTTACTTTTATATGGTGCATTGCATTAAGGCAGCCTATTCAAACCTAATGGGCTACCAATGCACCGTAACATGCTCAAAAAACCCCCCCCCAAAAAAACACATGACCATTATTTTTCGTACGGTTCGCTGCAATGCAGGTGTGTTGGCGTAGTGTGTAGAGGTGGCATTCAAAATGAATGCCACTGCAATGTTACCAGTTTGTGGTAACACGTATTCATGTAAATGGCGCGAGTTTGCACATCTAATCAGAGGAGGTGGGTTATTGTTTTTCTGCATCATGCAGCCGTGTTTGAGTTGCAGATTTAATTCAGCTCTGCAGACAGGCTTTTCCCACAATACATACCGCAATCAGTAACGATACATTTGCCTTTAATGGACCTCTTCCCATCATCTACGGAGTCACCTATACCAGTAACCACTGTCTGACTGGAGAACTCGGGAAGTGAAGGCAATACACACACTTTAAGCTCAGAGTAATGTTAAGCACGCAAAAATGAGCACAATGTGGCACTGGACCCCAAGCCTGGATCCTTTGTTATAACCTATAAGCCGATTTGTAAATAATGTGTAAAGATATCTTGAAGTCCAGTGCATTCCATGGTGGCTCTTTTTGAATGCCGACTTTCCAGGTGATTATGAGCATGGCATCTCCTAGGGACCTGGGCCCAATTAATAATTCAAAGAGATGGCGAGAGATGTAAACCTCACTTTGCAATGGACTTTGTGTGGTTGCAGCTGCCACTTTGAAATGTGTGGTTTGTCATGTGCAGCTTCCTAACTTTAAAAGTGAAATCATAATTGGTTTTAGGTCAGTTTATTATTATTTTTCCATTTATAAGTTTGTAAACATTTTACCTTTGTTACTTTAGATATGAAACCTTTGTTTTAAACAGTTAATACAGGACAAAAAAAAATATATACATCTCTAGTCTTTTTAAAGTTTGAATACATATAAACAGACCAGTTTAATCTAAATCTCATCAATACATGATACGTTTTTTGTTATTTTTTTAGCTGGGAGGAACATATTCTCTAGTGCAGCCTTGTTTAACACGGAGGAACCTTTAAAATAACTGTCCAGTGATAGTAGGTAACCCCTGCTAATAATTACTTTATCTATATCTCACGGTATATTAGTCGGGTGAGGCATAAGGAGAAAGAATGGAATGTGGCACATTTAGCATATACTTTTCTTACATTGGTAATCATTGAAAGAGTCATTTGCAGAAGGGTCCGATTACACTGATGGTCACTGGGAGAGTCCGTTGCAGAAGGGCCCTATTGCACTGTTGTAAGTCAACAAGGGCCCCATAACAGTAGTGGTCATTGGGAGAGTCAGTGGAAAATGGCACCATTACAGGTGTAGTCATTGGGAGAGTCAATGGAGAAGGGAGAGTCAATGGAGAAGGGAGAGTCAATGGAGAAGGGAGAGTCAATGGAGAAGGGAGAGTCAATGGAGAAGGGAGAGTCAATGGAGAAGGGAGAGTCAATGGAGAAGGGAGCCATTACAGTGGACGAATGCCACCCTTACAGATAGCCAAAAGATCAGTGGCAAGTTATTTGAAAGACCAATACTGTAGCGCAATGAACCCCTATCAACCTCTGGCAAAACCCTGGTTGAGAAAGGCTGCTTCCGTTATTAAAAGCAAGGCACTGATTAGTCACAACTAGCAGGTTGCACAATAAGAAATTTAGCACCCGGTCAGGTTCAAACTGTAGCAACTCCAACATCTTTCCTTCCTGTCCCTTATGTGCTAAAACAGGCACAGTTCTGACAGTTCCCCTGAATAAAAGGAAGCCATGTAGTAGCAGATCACCTCTGGACTTATTACAACTAATGCAGTGATGTACAAAGTGCTGCAACTGGAAGCATCAGATCTCAGCTTAGCGTGAAGCTAAAAAATGTGACTATGGTTTATTGCACTTCTAACATTCTTATTTTCCTTATTAAATATGCTTGTCCATTTAAAATAGATCATTTAGTAAAGTAATGGTGAGAAAAGCAGACATGATACAGAAATGATAGCTATATGACTCCAATTTATATACACAATGAAGGACATATACAGGCATATATACATATACTAAAGTGAAAAACATGCAAGTCAAAAAAGGTACTCTTACCAGTTTAATACAAAAAAAGATACACACAACTATAACTGTGAACAGAAAAAGGCAATTAAAAGTGAATCGGAGTCCAAAGCGGTAAAAAGAATACGCAATAAGCCATCAACTGCACAAAGCTGAGGCAGGAAGATAATGTGGCAAATCAGTTCATTAGAAGCCAGACAATGTTCCAGTACCCAGGGACATTCAGGTTCTTGATGAACTGGTAGACCATAGTATCAGGCTTAATGGGTGAACACAGGAGGATAACTGCCTATCTAGCAATGGCCACAAAAAATTAAGAAAACATACCGCTGTATGTGGAAATGGGGTTTTGGTCTCAGCAAACTGCATATATACATTGAACCTCCAAAAGGACCTATGCAGGAAGTTTATTTATCCTCCGCAGGCTGAATGCTTTAAGAATGATGACCAAGGCTTGTGAATGTCATCTACACTCTTTAAAATACTTCCAATATCTCTCTGGAGCTTGAAGATGGAGTGATGTATTTAAATAAAAATAATGGCTCGGTGAAGTCTGGACGGCAAAACACAGTATAATGCACTCCACTCTATCGGAAAATATATTGTTCAGAGGATAGAAACCAAAAGACAGAATCCATTTGGAACTACATTTTCTTTCAGAGCTAAGGTGTCATGAAGACTTGTATTTTATATGTACTAAGCAATTCAAATGCATGGCTCTAACTCAATATTTTATGCAGGACGACTTTGACTTCGTATACTGGCCCTGTACAAATACACCTAAAGAAAGTTGCTGCTCACTCTAATGTGCCCTACATGGGCAAAGGAAAGGGTCACTTTAAAGGCAAGACAGAGCATAACATGCCAGAAGTAGACTGTTCGGACTGGAGATATAGTTGGTCATCATTTAGCCTCCTGTAAGAGTGCGCTATTCTATAATTATGTGTTGCAGGTCAGATGAAGCCTGGCATTAGCTGCCTATACTGTACATGGCAGGGTTCCTTGCTAAGGTTAATATATTAAAAGGAAAAAAAAAGGTGTAATCTTCTACTTGTGACTGTCCTGCACATTCTGAAATAATGAAAAGCAGTTGAAGCTGTATGTCCTACTTTGGGAGTAGCCAACTTCTGTATGAAGAGTGGAGCGTTTAATCAATTCTCAGTCCTGCCCAGGACCCCCCAACACAGATATAGTCTTCCACTCCTGTACTGGCAATGACAGGCAAATTGTAACTGGGATGCCAGGGTCATTGGTATGAGTTATCCTGGTATACCTATGGAGAATCTGCTAGAAAGCATACGACAAATGCCCCGTTTGCTGTTCTTGATTTAGGTATTTGACAAGGGCAGCTTAGCTGAAACAGTAAACTAAACTGGTCACTGTTGCTTTGTGACTGGAGAGAAACCACGTCTGAGTTACCCAACATGGAAAAAAAACAGAACTTGCCACTACCAAGAATAAAAAAAATATTTTGAGCACTTTGTTATCCAATTGTTGCAGTTACTATAGAGGTCAGTGTCTCCTACAGAGGTCTAATGTGGCCTCTCTATGATCAGGTACACTGAACACAGCCACAACCACTGAAGCATTTACTAAGTCACAGCTAGCAGTCACAATGTCAGCTAACCATGGCTACATCTGTACAAATCAATATAATAAAAAGACCTGGCAGAAATTACGCAAAACTTCACTGGTAACACTCAATGATGAAACCACTTAAACTCATACAGTATGTGCAATAGCCCGACAAGCTATTAAAAAGACAGTTGTGAAATCTTAACGCAGAGCTCAGTGCGCTGTTGTCACGACTCCAAAAGAAGATTCTATTATATAGTACGATATTGGGTGCAAACACATCAGTGGCTTTCAGACATGAAAATATTGGAGGGGGGAAAAAAAAAAATATCAAAAACTTTATAAATCTCTTAGGGAACAATTAAAGCACAGGTTTAGAAAAATAGATCTTCAAATGTACTAACTAGATTTCTTTCCCTCTCTCGCTCTCTAAAATGTCTATCTTTTCCCTCTCTTGTTTCCAACTGGGGGCTTCTTAAGCTGTAGCAGCTGTGATCCGGTCCCAAAATTGGTAGATGAGGGGTTAGATACTCCGAAGGTTAAGCCAGCTGATGCAGTGATGCCGGGACTGCTGAAGTTAAATCCAGATGTAGATGAAGTGCCAAATCCTTAAGGGGATAAAATAAATTTGAAACCATTAATTTAAGTGAGAAAGGGTTTCCATTTAAATAACTCTATCCTAGCCAAGACATTATACATTCACCTCCACATATCTGGATTGTGGAATGGCTACAATAACTGGTGTGAGTTGCACAAGTGACAAAACATCACAGGACAGCAAAAAGTTATTTAAAGTGAACCCCTCACTTAAATACAGTTTCACCCTAGGCTGATAGACCTGGGAAACAGCTGGTTATAACTATGATTCGTCTTTATCCTTATAAATCACTTTCGTGCCCAGTATAAATGCAAGTGAGGCACTGTGTGGCCCTGCCAAGTACCTGATAGTGTTGATGAAAAATGGGATTTGCATGACAGATTTCCAGTTACACTTATTTAAGTGGCAGGTTCACTTTAAATCTTAAATGGTAAAAAGTTAAGGAGACAAGCAAAGTACACGCATGGCATTAAAAGGAAATTAAACTGGCTTAGGCTTTAGTTAATTACAGATCAGTGATCACTTTTATAAATGGAATACATGGCACAGACATCAAACCCTTTAGAAACCTTTTTCACGTCAGTTTAGACTTAATTCCTGAAGTAAACTGGTAAATTTTGGCTGTTGCTGGAATATACCTCATATGACTTTTGTGATCATATAAAATACAAATAACTCTGAAAAGCTTTTTGAGGGAAACATGACCCACAATATACATTATCCTAATGACAGAGTTTGGTTTATAACATATTAAAAATGGCTTTAAAGCCGAACTCCTGGCAGATATGAAAAAATACCATTACAATGCAATTAATTGAAATTATCCTAAAATCAATTTTTACATTCATCTAGTGCGTGTAGCTCAATGCGTCTTTATAACATCCTCTAAACCCCTGTGCATCAGCATTCAGACTAGGAGAGATATGGTCAATACTCTGAGCCAATCAGACTTGGCTGTATTCACATATGTAGATAGGGAATGTGTTCATCAAACTAGGATTGCAGCATGTCAAGGCTGTAAATCCCAAGAGTGGCTGGGGAAAATTACAAATCCATTGGCACTTAAAACAATTACTGTATATGTGCTTTAAATGCGGATTCAGCTGCTTGCCTGGAGTTCGGTTTTAAGGTTGCATTTAATCTAAAATGTACATAACGGACCATAAGAATGGCAAAAGCAGAAAGTCTAAGTTTAGTCAAAAAAGATAAAAGGCAGAGGCAAGGTTGAACTGAGAAAAACAAAGTTTTAATATTGTATTGCAGATAGCATCGTAACATTCAGTAGCGTGCTATGAAGTGAACATAGATCTTTAGGCAAAAGAATCCCATCTCTCTCGAAAGATGATCTTGAAAAGGTTGTTTTAGCCTAAATATATAAAATGAAATAGGAAAAAAAAAAAAAATCCCCCTTTCAATAAAAGTCATAAGTCACACATAAAATGTATCTGAAGCTTAGACTATTTACAGAATGTGAGCACAATAGGGGAGTATCGTGCCATGTAGGGGTGAAGTTGGGTCAAAGCAAAATTGTTACCCCAATGTCAGGATGTAAAGCCCCCAAAGAAGGCTGACCTATGTCCTGCCTGAACTCCTGACTAGCAGCTAGCACACTGTGGATGCTATGGGAGGTGGGAAAATTGTTAACAAAAGGTAGGTAGGTATGTATGTATGTATGTATGTATGTATACGCATGCATGTGCATTCAGAAAGTATTCAGACCCCTTCACATTTTACAATGTTATGTTGCAGCCAAATTAAATTGATTGGACATGATTTGGAAAGGCGCACACCTCCCTATAGAAAGCCTCACAGCTGACAATGCATACTGTATCAGAGCAAAAGCCATGAGGTCCAAAAAGGAACTGCTTGCAGAGCTTAGAGACAGGATTATTGCAAGGCACAGATCTGGGGAAGGCTACAAAAAAATGTTTGCTGCACTGAAGGTTCCCAAGAGCACAGTGGCCTCCATAATTCTGAAATGGCACAAGTTTGGCACAACCAGGACTCTTCCAAGAGTTGGTCGCCCAGGCAAACTGAGCAATCAGGCTTTAGTAAGAGAGATTACCAAGAACCCGATGGTAACTCTGAGCTCCAGAGATCATGTGTGGAGATGGGAGCAAAGAACAGGAGATATCTTCAATGAAAACCTGTTCCACAGCACTCAGGACCTCAGACTGAGCCGAAGGTTCACCTTCCAACATGACAATAATCCTAAGCACACAGCCAAGACAACACAGGAGTGGCTTAGGGACAACTCTGTGAATGTCAGAACCCTGACTTGAACACTATTGAATATCTCTGGAGAGACTTGAAAAAGGCTGTCCGACGGTCCCCATCCAACCTGCCTGAGCTTGAGAGGATTTGCAAAGAATGGCAGAAAATTCCCCAGTCCAAGTGTACAAGGCTTGTCGCGTCATACCCAAAAAGTGCCGAGGCTGTAATTGCTCCCAAAGGTGTAAAGGGTCTGAATACTTAAATATCCGTGATGTTTGTTTTTTCTTTTTAATAAATTCACCGACATTTATAAAGTTTTCGCTTTGTCATTATGGGGTACGGAGTGTAGATTAGAAGAAGAAAAATAATTTAAAAACAACTGTATCAGGCTGCAACATAACAAAATTGAAAACAGTGAAGGGGGTCTGAATACTTTTCCACACATACCTATAAATACAGGGGGTGCCACAAAAATGTATACACATTTTGAGAGGTTATTACTTTCGGAAAGTTGAGTTGAATTACGGTAGCAATGTGTAGTATGATGTTTGCTCAATAGACGGCATTGATCAAATGAATGCTAGCGTCTCCATGTGACAGGCAGGACAGTCAAAGAAAATGGCAGAAGCACGGTTCGCAGAGGAGCGCAAGACCATTTTGAAGTGGTATTTGAAAATTGAGAACGTTGTGGAAGTATGACAATGGAGGCATGAGTATGCAAAAGAACCTTCAACACACCTAACAATTGCACGCATTCGTGATAAGTTTGGGGCGCACGGTACTGTGTGTGATGTGCACAAGGGAAGACAAGTGGACAATTTGGTCAATGTTGCTCAAGCAGTAGTTCACTGTAAATCAGAAGGGTCTTAACGCTGATAGTAACTACTTTGAGCACTTCTTGTAATTGCTGAAGTCAAACGTGACTTGTATTCATCTTTTGTTATCGGTATATATTGAGTATTATAATTTGAATATGGTTTTTCCTTTCTTAAAATGTGTATACTTTGCCACTCTCTGTACATTCCTGACAGCACCTTATAGTTATGCAATGGTATTTTTGTGGGAATAAATGGTTGGCCTAACAGACTGGCACATCTGAACACGAGTTTCTTATAATAATAAAATATCAAGTAATCCTTGAAAGAGGACATTAAGGCTGCACAACCCTAACAACTCAAAAGTAGAGATTCACAATATTATAGATAACAACTGGTAACTAGTTCTCTAAGTTAGAAATTTTCAAAGCAGCCAGAGGCACCAGTATTCTTCCTCTCTCTCATCTGGTGCCTGTGTTCAGACAGTTACTATTGTTAATAAATAAAAAGGGTTTGTTTTTTTACTTACCAAAAAAACTTCTAGTCCTTTGAGGGACACAGGAATTCAGAAACTGTTGGGTTATACTGCCACCTACATGAGGATGGGACACTGCCAAAAAGCGTTCTGCGCTCTGCAGCGCTGTTGCTGATACACTGTATTTTCCATATTTTTCAATAAAGTTGGTTCAAAATTTGGCAAAAAAAAAAAAAATGATAAGCCAGCTCCTGTATAACCCCTCCTCTACCCAGCATGCCTTAGTTTTGTGAGAAGGCAATACACTGGGTCAGCAAAAATCAGAGGTGCAAAAGCACACCAATCAGTGCCAGAAAGAACCTTCCTAAAGCCAGGAATACTTCACTCACTCCAGTAGACACTGCCCCATTTCAGTCAGCAGATCCAGTGGGCTGCATAAAAAAAAACAAAAACAACCAGGCGTCTTTCCTGGTGCAGATAAACCTTTTATTGATTAAACTAGTATTAGGAAATATGCTCACAAATGAAGCAGTGATTAGAAACATCAAATGTACTGGTTGTCCGTAATTAACTTGCTGCTGTAGATGTACAAAGGAGAGATCATGGAGACACTCAGGGAACTCTGTTCTCCTCACAGAGTCCCACTGCCACTGCTGAACGCGTTTTCGGGGACACGCCCCCTTCCTCAGAGATAGCTAGAGGCATTGGGACTCTGTGAGGAGAACAGGCGTTCCCTGAGTGTCTCCATGATCTCTCCTTTGTACATCTACAGCAGCAAGGTCATTAAGGATTCCTAGTCCATTTGAGGTTTCTGATCACCGCTTCATTTGGGAGTATATTTCTGTATACTATTTTAATCAATAAAAGGTTTATCTGCACCAGGGAAGGCGCCTGGTTGTTCTTTGTCCTGTATCCTATAAATCAACACTAAGAAAAGATTTATGGCAAGTACAGATCAGATTTTTCCATCATCCATTGATTGACACAGGAATTCAGAAAAGTCCAAAAGCAGTCCAGCTGAGAGGAGGGCAATAGCCACTGAGAAATCAACTAGGGGACTAGGAACCATCTGTAAACCAGGACAAATGAGGATGACCAATGACTGAAGCTGAAACAGATGAGGTGAAGTGCCTTGCAAGACGGGAACCTGCCAACTACAGAAAGACTAATACCCGGACCAGCAGAGAAAACCGCCAAAAAGGGAAAGACTCCAGTCACCAGCAGGGGGCTGTAATTTAAACACCACCAAAATAGTGGAACAGTTTAGGGCTGCAGCTAACGATTATCTTCATAAATCTATCTTTTAATGTAAAATAAAATTACACAAATGCAGTGCTACAAATTTTACTTAATAAAACTGCATGCACATTTTTTGCACTCGCACCGCACTGGAATGCACAGCATTGCAGTACCGCGCATTCCAGTGCAGGTGATCACACTGCGGGTTGGAGGGGTGTTTGGGATACCATTGAAATTAACGGCACCACAACACAAATCCCAGAGCAGAATTTTCAGGCCGAAACAAAAAATGCTTGCCTTATTTTATTTTAATAAAAGCCTGCTCAGTTTAGAGTTAGCTATGAATATTGGTCCAAGAACTATTGCTCTCACTCCGGCGCACGCGGCGATACCCGACATGTGTAGCTCAATCGTCTTTTTTTCTACGTAGGTGCACCCAACTTGCTTCGCAGGGTTGGGGGACTTTACATTTTTGGGTGGCTATTTCCAAATTGTATTTAACTTTATTTTTTACCTCATTGCAATCACATGGTGGAGCTCACAAGCCACCCATGTAATGGCACAATGGAGGTCACAGGTTCTCTAGTGTCACCTTTTAAATTTCACTGGGAATGACAGCTGAATGTCAACACAGCAGGCAGGGGCTGGGAGCAACAGCCAGCCTGTTATTTTAAATTGTAATAGCAGGCTGGCTATTGCACTCGCCCATTGCTGCTGTCAAAAGCTCTCCTTCAGGTCCTCCTCTACTGATTGACAGCAGGCAGTGGGTGGGTGCAATCGGCTGTGCAGCGGGGGGAACAGAAAGAAATGGTTGTGCAGCAGGGGCACAATCAACTACATTGATAGAGTATTGTTGACAACGATTCGAATTATCGATTATATTGATTGGTTGTTGCTGCCCTAGAACAGTTTACCTCTGAAGGAACAAAGACCAACAATGTGAAATGGTCAACAAAATAAGGCAAACTGGTCCCAGAGGAAAACATGGGAAAAATCCCACACGAAACAACTGATCCACAGTAAGGCAGGGTGTTTGAAAAGCACTTCAACAATGTTAGGGACAAAAGGTATACAACAGCCCTAGACTGGAGCGCTTAAGCAGAAAAAAAGTGAAAAACCCATTCACTAAAAACTATAAGGTGGTGGAACCTGACAGAAAAACTCTACATGACCTGCCTAACCAGTACATGTCTTATAGAGTTCTTCTCTTAAGCCCCAGAGACGCCACCTTCGAAGATGATCCTTGACGCTCCAGAGAATTGTGCACAGCCATGTAACCAGGGACCTTAGCCAGACAGCTAAGAGCATAGAATCAAGCATGGGTTCCTTAGAGGAACTTTCTCCCAAGGCTGCAGATTAGCCACACAAGGAGAACCTAGCCCTGTGTGATCAGGTCCACAAAGGCTTCTGGACATACTTAATTCTCAGAAGGGATTACCTGTAATAGGATTCCAGCAGGAGATGAGGTGCCGCCAAGTGCGCAAATCTTTCTCCTGTTGAGGAAAGTTAGAGATAGTAATGCCACATCTCTGAGGGAGACTGTGCGGTTGAAAGCAGCACTCTGCGATGTAGTGACCAGGACACTCACCCCATCAAATGGGAAAATCTCTATAGGAGGAGTCTATACAAAAACCAACTGCTCTGGGGAACCAGGTTGAAGCCCCAGTTAAGCAGAAACCCTTGCAATGGGAGTCCCCTTGGAAAGAAGGGGGGAAAGAGAGACCACTCCCAGATTGTCATGCCAGAGACTTCTTGGTTCATAAAGACCAGGGGTAACCAAACTCCGGCCCTCCAGCTGTGGTGGAACTACAAATCCCATGAGGCATTGCAAGATTCTCACAGCCACAGACATGACTCCCAGAGAGAGATGCATCATGGAATTTGTAGTTTCCCCACAGCTGGAGGGCCGGAGTTTGGTTACCCCTGATAAAGACCATGCAGAAATCTTGCCTCAAGTCCAGGCTCCCAGATACAGAGGGTGCAGCTGAAGGAGAGCGAGAGTTAACCAAAGTAGGAGAAAATATTAGGACATTCCCTCAAAACCTCATAAGCCCCTGAAGGGGAGGAAAGGGGAACACATAGGAACCATTCCCGACACATAGGGAAGGGTCCATTGACCCACAGGGTGTAGATTTGTTTAGTGAGGATTTGAGTTGGACAGTCTCACTTGTTAGTGACTGATAGCTGCCAATGCTAGACACCTGCAAGGCCTCACTGGGTCGAAGCATGCAAGCGTTAGGTTCCTCAAAATAGTTCTGACTGCAAAGGTATAGAAAGTTGACCCGCTTTAAAGGAAATTAGTCTAAGCATTCCACAGTGAGGATGCCAGGTAAAAGACACTAGAATGGACAAAAAGGTCCAAAACTATTAGAAGTTACAGATGCCTCCTGAAGAACACTGATGGGACAAGTCCTTGTTAAGAAAGGAATCAGAACGAACTGGTCCTGACTGACCTGTAACTGAGGGGGTGCTTTTGGAGAGGGGGAATGGTGAGGAGTACCAAACAAACACTTCAAAAGGCTTCAACAACATCCAAGTATGTACCATTCTCCTGAACAAGGGAGTATCCTCAGAAGTATCCTCAGAGTGGAGATCACACCAAGATCCCATATACACAGGAACAGGGGGTCGCAGAGTGGTGGGAGCCCAGAAAGGCATAGGAAGCCAAACTACTGAATGCAGTAGCACAAAATGTACATGCAGCCTACACTTCTAGGAATCCCACAGTTTGATTGGGAGTTATGTCCAGTCCAAAAGATCTAGATATGGCCTCTAAAGCTAATGCTAAAAAGCTGCAAGTTCAGATAGCTGCTATGTAAAGAGCAGCTCAAGCAGCAGTAACAAGGAATCTTGATTGAAGTTACCAAAGAGAAAAAAAAAAAACCCCATAAGTAAGGCTACCACAATTAAACTTTTTTTTAGCAGACCTGAAGAAAAGCGGTCCACCATACTAAGACACTAGCAAAAAAAACAAAAAAGAGGCATGCTGCGAAGAAGGGTTATGCAGGGGCTGGCTTACATTTTTTCTGTTAGCTCGTGTCCCAAGCACCTGTAGGTGGCAGTATAATTAGAGTTTCTGAATTCCTGTGTCCCTTGGACAATGAAGAAATTAGGTCCATCATGTTTATTTTTATACAAACAAGCTGTTTAGTTGAAATACAAACCTGCACTGAGGCTTCCTGATGGTTTATTTGCAGTTCCAAAGCCAAAAGAGTTAGTGCCAGACGTGTTGCTTCCGAAAGCCGAGCTACTTCCAAATCCTAGTGGGACAGCATTAGATAAAAACACATGTAACAAAGCATATAGCACAAATACAGTTAAAGGTGAAACACCTCAGAATACAGAAGCAGATTACATAAGCAGATTACATAGACTATTAGAAGCCAAACATTCTACAACAATGAGCTTTGCCACATGAAAGCTCACAAAGTCTAGTACTGCCTTAACCTCCCTGGCAGTATGCTTATGCAGGATTTTAGCATGCCAAAGCGATACATTGTTTTTCATGGCAATTTGTTTTATATTGTAGGCCTGTAATTCTTAGTAAATCTTCGGAATAACTCACTAAATCTGTCCAAACAAGAGTCCAGTAGACATCCCGGGTATGATAAAGTTTGAAACACGAAATTATAATCTAATACATTTATAAATAATTACAAAAAATTATAAAATATAATTTAAAAAATGGTCCAGTAAATGGGAATTCTGGGGGCGCTGCCTGATCCGTACCACAGTCAATAGAGAACAGTAAAAGTGCAGGCAGGTCACTAGACAAAGCTCTAGGGACAAAATTGAAATGAAATAGTTTGATAAATATATGTAATTATAGCAGATTACATTGTATTGTGTGTATTCTGTGTAAATGTCATGTTTTCACTTTTGAATTTCCCGCCGGCTCCGCCCCCGCTGTGACGCCCGAAAACTAAACTGAAAGCCGAATGCCGGCATCGGCCGGGGGCACACAGCAGAGGACACCGCGGGCTCGCAGGGACAAGGTAAGTGACACTTTTGCACAATCCAGAGTGTGGCTCGGGGGTTACCGCTCTTGGTACTGAAGATTAACCCCCGAGCCACACTCTGAATACCGCCAGGGAGGTTAAATTAAGATTTCAAAGCAAAGCAGAATTATATGACTGGAGCATCTTGGAAAAATAATGTAATTGTAGCTTTTGGTCATCTGAAAAATCAGGCAGCCATGGGAGAGATAAGCCTTCTGAAATTTCAGTTTTTCTTTAAGCTCTCGTTGAAAGTAAAACACCTCCTAACATAAATGAGAACAATTTTTCCTGGCCAATGGATATTTAATTAGGTTACAGGCATATACCCAATACTGTCATAGTTTGAATACCCTGCTTGGGTGGCTTAATAACGTTGAATATATCAGCAATCAGGAGAAAGGTGGAACTGCCAATAAGAGTGGTAAAATTTGCAAAACAGAGTGCCTTATGCTTCCAGGGTCCAAAAGTGCTCATGAAGCTGCCTGAAGGCAGTTCACTTGAAAGGAAGTGGGTTACTTTGGCGGCTCCTTCAGGGGTGAAGGAGCCGCTACCAACATTTTTTTCCGGTTTTCATTAGAAACCAGTTTAAAAAAAATGTCCCCAATAACATGTTTAGCCCACACAGGAGACACACAAGTAAAAATATGACAATTCAGTGGACCAAGGAAAGCAGCAGTTGCACTGTTTTTCTTATAACCAATCACACAATGACAAATATATGGCAGAAGTCCCAACCTTCCACACTATATCTAAAAGTAAAAAAAAAAGGTTTGGAACACTGTCGAGTACAATTAAAGCTGAACTCCAGCATTACATACTTGTACAGTCTATTTCTCCTGTACAGAAAATGCTAATCTCACAGCAAGCATTAGAAGCTGCAGCAAGCCAGATAGAGCCAGCCTCATTTCCCGGCTGGAGGACGTTCAGAATAATCTAGCCATTTCTTTCCCAGCTTTACTGTCCCTGGCTTGCCCCTTTCATTCATTAGATTTCAGTTCTTTAAATCTTGAAGGCTCAGCATTATATGTTGGCATTACCAAGGGTGGTCGGCATGCAAATGCAGTCTTCCTAGGTATGCCTTCATCAGGGCTGAGTGCTCTTGAGGAGTACTGATGCAGTGTGCTGTGACATTTTCAGGAAGCTATCTACAGCTCCCTTACTCCCCTTCCCATCAGCCATGATCTGCTTGTATTGAATCGAGAAGCACAGACCTGGTTATGGCATCACTGGGCCTAAAATTTATTATGTAATGAAAATGGAAAGGATAGATTTAAAAATTCATTAGCATGTTGTTGAGGGGATTCAGGAGGAACCAGGAAAGGTAGATTATAAGCAGATTAAGCTTCAGCTTTAAGGAAATATTCATACAGCAGATGGTCACAGAGGAATTCCACAATCTGGGGCATATTGCCTCACAGTAGTAGGCAGTGCTGTTAAATTTGAGCAGATTGGGAGCAAAAAGCCTATGGTGGTTAGATGCCTTGCAGGACTATATGTTACATGCATAATACATGCAAAAATATAGAAATGCATACATTTTTTTCCCCAAAAACTTCTGATGTACAAGTGTTACATACCTAAAGATGACTTTAGGAAACTAGTCTTTTAATACCTACCTCCCCAAGTGCTGTGTAAATTACTTGCCTGCCTTCCCATTCTACAAATGCTCACGGTACGACTCTGCCCAACGCCGTACAGCCCTTCTTCCCCATTCATTCCTTTGGATAAGCCATATTCCATACGGCAGCTGGAATATGGCTCACCATTGGGACAGAATGGGGCTGTGGTTTGTGTACACGAAGAGCTATATAATAAAAATTGCCAGAATGGGCAAGACTTTTACATTGCACTCGGGTTGGGGTGAACTTGTCCTTTAATTCAAAAAGTGTCACTTTTTAAGAGAGTCAAGCTAAACCTATATTTTTGGCTTTACTATTCCTTTGGGTCACAGAAATACACTAATGCTTTAAGTATTGGGAGGAGTATATCTTAAACATCTAGTAATAAAATTGTGTCTAAAAGAAATTAGACCAATCCAAGAGCCCCTATGCATAATCCGCATGCTATAGAGAACAGATAAAATCTTAAGCCTAACATGACAGTGTCAAACTGGTACAAGGTGAATGCCACCAGAAAATTGTCCTTTAATGTAAATTTCTGAGCCTGAAGATGTCCAGCAACAGTTAGGCTGGAAACAGACTGGGAAGATCATTTTGAATAACAGATGGAAATTTTGGCCTCCATATGTGACCTTCATTCTCCTGTAGTGACGGAGAAAAATAAAACCATACAAGAGAAAAGAAAACATGAAGGAACAGAATGGGAAGTGTCTCTCTAAAATTCTAACAGTGAAAGTGGTTTTCGTTTGGTAAACGCCACTTATTCCAAAAATAAATGTTAAAATAAAAAACGAAATTTCAAAATTACATTCGTCAAAGTCTCTGATGGCAATACCGAATGTTCCGACAAGATCTTTCATATGAAAGTAGGGCAATACAGCAAGCCAACAGCAACAAATAGGTTGTGGAAAAGGAAGACAAGTAAGCCATTGGTAAGACAAAATGTTACACATCAAAAAGTGCCAGTTCTTTATTTCATTTTGGCTAAGTGCTTTCTAGCAAGGGCTACAGTTCGCAGGGAAAAATAATGTAGCTTAATGTATTTTCCATCAAATTGATGGAATAAAAAGGTTAACTATCACCGGCTTAAACAAAGCATGCTTGTAGAAAACGTCTGAAGAGTAATGCAATTTCTCTTGTAATCCATACTCCCTTGCTATATCATAAGGCTGTAACTATAATGTGTGATAACATCCTTCAGAATCGATAGCTAGGCCTATTATATCATTGCCCCACCTCGTGTCTGTTTTTAGCCTACTAACAAGTATCACCATTTAGTGACTACCATGCTAAGCTTTCTCTCATCACTTCCCCTGCCCATCCACCAGACAACCCCACTAAAAGCCTGCTATAAACTTGGAGAGCATGTAACAAACCCAGCATAAAAATAACATTTCAGGTAAACATACCAACCATATTGTAAAAAGACCCCGTCACCAGATCTCACTATTTATACATTTGCAGCAGTAGAGGATAATAAGCCCTTGCATGTTCCCTTCTTTTTTAGAAAACATTGTTTGCTGCGCCGCAGAAAATACCTGCATTCAGGGGCAGGAGGGGGCAAGGCGGTGCATTCAAGTCAATGGCACCGCAGCCACGCCCCTCACCCACAGTGCGATCGCCCGCACCAGGAACACAGGCACATTAGTGCCTGCGTTCCGGTCCAGTGCGAACTGCAAAAATGCTGCAAGCACTATTTTTGCAGGCACCAATGTGCTCGCGTTCCGGGTGCGGGCGACCCCTCCCGCCCTTGAACGCAGGGAGTCGGCCGGCTTGCATTCCAGTGCGTTCTAGAGGCGCCAGCGTCCTGTCAGCCCCGGGTGCTCGTGTGGCCGACGTTGCACACAGGGAGAGGTGTCCTGCCCCTTTCCGTCTGCAGCGTCTAACACATTCAGGCGGCAGCCACACAAGCACTGCGGGAGCAGAGCCGTAGCCAGCTCCTTTTGCGCCCAATGCAAGAACAGAAAATTGTGCCCCCTCCCCACTCGAGGTTATTTTGAGGAAAGTAAATAAATAACAATTAAATTAATGATATTAGAACTGTTTACAGGGTGATAGAGACAGAGCAGAGGAGTAAAAGGGATTTTAAGGGGGTGATGGGGACAGAGCATGGGGACATTGAGTAATAGGTCAGTGCAGGGGAGTAAAATGGATATTTAAGAGGCGATGGGAACAGAGTATGGGGACATAGGGTGATAAGGACAGAGAAGGTGAGAAAAGGAGATTTTTAAGTGGGTGATGGGGATAGTGCTATGATCATTTGAAGATGGGGACAGAACTATAAGAAGTAAAAGGGATGGTCCCCATGGATCTAGGTATATTTTACCTCATCTACACCCCACCGCCTCCTCTCCATCTGACCCTTTTTCTGCCCTCCCACTTTCAGGATCATTCTCCTAACCCGGTGCACGATCCACTAGCTAGCTACGGCTCTGCTCTACAGCTGGTGCCCCCCCAAACAGGCGTGTGACATCACCCAGCGCCCCGCCTCCAGGATTTTTTAAAAACTATTTTTTAATTTTAGTTTTTTTATTTTTATATATTTTTTTTTTACTGTTGGGGGGGTTTTGGGGAAATATTAGGGGTCTAAAAAGACCCCTGATATTTCACTTTTAAATTAGAAAAAGAAATTGAGGGCACAAAGTCACACAGAGGCTTCCCATTCATTCAGAAAATATTTAGTATCATCACCAGTTTCTGAATGGGGAGGAGCCTCCGTACAGAGTGCTACTCCCCATTGAGAAACTCATGAATGAACAGGAAATGTAAAGCACTTCTTGTTCATTCATAACTGGGGATACATATTTACAAACACTGGAGTGATCAGCTGATCGCTCCAGTGTTTGTCCCGCACAGAGGATTGGTACATATCGCTGATATGTACCGATCCTCCTCCGCTCGGCCATGCACACAGGGCTCACCCTGCAGCTTCTCCTCTGGATCCCCGCTGCTCTCCCAGGCAGAGGCAGCAGGGAATCAGCTGAGAAGTGAAGGAAGCACTTCAGCTGCAGGGGGAGCGGTGGAGGGAGCCACTGTCACAGCAGCATGGTCGAGCGGAGAGAGAGAGAGAGAGCCGCTGGCTGTCAGATCCTGGCCGAGCGTCTCTCTCCTCACTGCTCGACTATGCTGCTGTGATAGCGGCTCCGTCCTCCAGCCGGCTGCAGCGCTTCCTTCACTTCTCCTCGGATCCCCGCTGCATATAGATGGGGGAGAGCAGCGGGGATCCAGAGGAGAAGCCCCACGGCGGGAGGAGAGGACATCGCGATCTACCAGTGTTCGCTTTGCGATCGACTGGTAGATCGCGATAGATCTAATGAGCACCACAGGTATTCTGTAGATACAAAAGGATACTAGATATTTATCTAGGTATGTAACATAGAATGGCTCATTTTACAAGTCACAGAGGTTCTCCGCATGATTGTGCGAAGGATCCAGTGCCTGGAAACCAAAAAGTTATGTGAATGGAGCACCACAGTGCTGTGAAATGCTGCGATTTGCTGAAAAGCAAAGCTATTCTTAAGCTGGCCATACACTACGCGAATTCGCACAGTGGATGCCGCTGGCCGGCATCCCTCAATCAGATGATTAAAGGAGCCAGTTTGAAAATCTTTGAACGAGCGGTGCTTGTGGCCAATCTGCCGGTGGCCTGTTAGAATACCAAACAGCGAGGGGTTCACCCGCCAACACTCATAAGCATTGATGGGGTAATCAGTTTTATTTTTTCTTGCTCAGCCTGAGTTGAACGAAAAAAAATAGTGTATGGCCAGCTTAACACAATTACCTTGATAAATAGCTGGGGACATGCTAATGATGGATGGACATCATTGATGACAAACTACCTTTACACATGAAAACATATATGGGAGCTTTAGAAAGCGCGGCCCTTCCCCTACTTGAAATGTTTTTTAAAAAGGTTGAAGGCTATAGAAATAAAGTGTTTGATATTAACATAAAAGTTTTTTGCATTGCTGTAAAACTTTTTGTGGTTGATGCCTTAAGTGTTTCTTGTGCATCTCATACATAAATAGGTTTTTACTGCTCTCTGTCATGGTCAAAGATTTACTCCATTTTTCCCATTGTACACTGTCACCACAATTAAAAAAGGGAGGGAAAATCTGAAACGTAGCCATCACCAGAATAGGAATAGAGGGGAATCTTCAAATGGGGACATTTGTTCTGCTAACAAAAGGTCTAAAAGAGCCTTCCCCTCATTTTGGACTTCCTTTAACTTCCTGTTGTGTCTACAGTACACAAAGTGAAGGGTGATCCCCCTATATAAATAGGATATCCTGCCAGGTGTTTTAGCCATTCCCTACTCACATATAAAAGGTTTTGACTTAAGATCTACTTTACACATCAGAATTAAATATATGCCTAATTTGGAAATGTTCTTACATTCTTATTCTGTAGCTATGTATGGATCCACAGCTTTACCCTATTTTACTGGTTTGAGGATGGAGCTTTTGCATAAACAAAAAAGCACGATAAGCAGATATCATCAGGTTAGGACAAGTGCAGCAGCCTTTTTTTTTGTTCTAGCGGGCCAAGCAAACATGACATGCAAATTTTAAAAAGTTGGCGAGGCCAGAAAAGTGAAGCCATGTAAACAGAAAAAGAAAGAAATTGTACAAAATCGAGAAAATAAATTGTAGAACAATACTTTATAATTGAGAACACTTTGCAGACAGGAATGGACTTCAGCTTTAAAAGGTAAAAGTATGGTTTACTTTTAGAAAGTACATTCTTTAAAGTATACACTTAATAATAATAAAGAAATTCTCGAGAAGACCTGACAGGACCGGTCCTCTGTATTCTGGGGTTGTCCAGCCCTTGCTTAAGTGATAACCTTAATTGGCTAACAAATTATTAAAGATGCAAGCTTTCAGTATACCTTAGATCAGCCTTTCTCAACCAGGGTGCAGTGGCAACCCTGGGGTGCCTTTGCCAGCCACTAGCATCATGTAAACGAATGATGCTAATCCGTGGGGGCTATTCAGAAAAGGATAGAAGTTTGCCTGTGTGCAGGCCTGGTCTGCCTCCTGCTCGCTGCCATGTTGCTGCGGCTCCTGATAGGATGGTGGGACACTGATATGAAGGGGGGACTGGAGACTGATGTAAAAGGGGGGCTTCTAAAGTGAAGGGGCCTGTGAGGAGAAAAGGGACTCTGATGGAGTGTGGTGCCTCAAGCTTTTCCATACTTTTAGGGCTTGTTCACACGACGTCCGGATTCTGTCCTGACTAGATCCGTGCGCTCATGCACCCAAAATGCATCCCAATGTGTTTTATGGGCTACAGTTCTCACATGCACAGTCCGTTCCAGTCACAGAAAATATTGCATGTCACATTTTGTCCGGTCTGGAAACGCAAAACGCGTCAAAAACGCATAGCACCGCGTCTGCAGATCTGCTCCGGACATCGTGTGAACAAGACCTCAGAGGGTACCAGGACTTTAAAAAAAAAGTTGAGAAACACTGCCTTAGATCCCTTCTAAAGGCTTTACACAGTTCTGAAATTTCCTCTAAAATACGCATAAAATATATATATTTATTCTGAGAATTTGCCTCCCTGATTGCTCAGGTTAGCTATGGTTAGCAAATATTATCAGTTAAACTCCAAACTTTGTGCATTACATTGATGGCTAACATGGTACAATACTGTACTACTACATTAGCCACCAGACAATCTGTGTTTGTGTGCAATCACTCAGCTTCCCTGGTTAATAACCATTAAAATTATCAGACACATAGGGTGAGCATTGTTTTCAGGGGTTTATAGACTCATAGATTTGTACTATGAGAAGCAGCAGTAAAACACAGCTGTTCTGTAACACTATAGCCCATGAAGTGGAGCCTATGTAACCGGGTGGGTAGGTTCTAAGGAAGGGGGTGTCGCCCCAGAAACGCATTAACCAAGGCTGTCATGGAGTAAGAAGGACGTGCACTCCAGACTATGTTCTACGCTGTGGTTGTTTCGATGTTCTCAGTGCTGACGAAAACCTCTGTCACTACAGGCTTTCAAATACCAGCTGTTTTGGGAGTATATTTCTTGCTTTTATCATCTAATCAGAAAAGACTTCTACACAAGGGAGGCGCACTGTTTTTGTGTTTCCTGTTTGCTAGGTTCCCAGACTCCCCGATTGTCAAGGTGCTGCCTATCTGTGGAAAGTCATTGTTCTTGTACCCCCAAGGAAGATGGAATTTTGGTGCTAGGGATCACTACGATTTGTGATTGGACACACACCAAACATAGAGGGGAATTTATCAAAACTGGAGCAGTTGCCCATAGCAACCAATCAGTTTCTCTCTTCGGTTTGTTCAGATAAGATTTAAAAATGAAAGAGAGAAACTGATTGGTTGCTATGCACATCTGCTCCAGACCCCACTAAACTAAAAAGACTAGACAATCCTATGCACCTGAATAAATAAATGGAGGCATAGGTATGTGGCAGGAAAGCTGCAAGTGGTTTGAACTGATAGCAACATTCAAAAGGACAACAAAACAACATTTTGGCATTTATACCATTTCAATTTTGAACCACCTCTGGGTGTTGTTGCTTTGCAGGGTTGTGCACATCTACACAACCGCCAACCCCTCTGAATGAAGCATCAGATTTACAGAACCCTATGAAATATCTATCACATGCTGCCATACGAGTTCAGCCTGACTGCACCACAAATGTTACGTATGGGCCTGCTGATCAGCAAACTGTCCTTCAGGAGATAGACGTTCAACACATTACTCAGCGTAACCTTCTTACAATGAAACAAGTGGGCAAAACTCTAATTTGCAAGTCACTTTTTCACACAAGCATCTGTTAGTAAGATGTTGAATTAAGAAAATGGAAAAAAAGTACCTCCAATACTTGAAGAGCCCAAGCCAGCTGGTTGTAGACCAGAACTCATAGCTGAGCCGAATGGTGCTCCAAACCCAACTCCTAGTGAAGGCCGAGGCCCTAATGTGAAGAGTAGAAACATAACACAAAAAAAAGGCAACGGAAAAAAAAAAAAGCTTTTCTTATTTGCCAAAGTAAAGAAAACTTATGAGATGTGATACCACTATAAAAACTTTGCACACCTAGTTCCTGTATTAGCGAGTCACAGTCATATTTAGCTCTGTTTGGTCTGTAATGCTTAAAGAAGAACTTCAAGAACTGTAAAAAAAACAAAACAAAAAAAAAAAAAAAAACACCCTGCCCAC